ACAGGTCTGAGGCAGGAATGAGTTCTATGGGGAAGGTAGAACTGGCTGGAACTTTGTGAACCAAGGAGAGAGCGGTAAAGGTAAGTCAGAAAGCTGGCATGGCCCACGTCGTATGAGGTCCTGTAGGCCATACAAAGGAAATTGGAATTTGTCCTAAGTTCACTGAGAAGGCTCTGGAAGTTTTCTAAACCAGTTTTTTAAACTCAAGTGATCATATTTACATTTTAAACCTTCTGCCTGTAATATGGGGATGGACTGAGAGTGAGAGAGGGGCACAGTGGTGTCAGGTAAGGGTGATAGGTCATTAAGTCAGGAAAGGAGGAAATGAAAAATAATGGGAATAATTAGGAAAAGGGTTTAAGGCACAACTGACAGAACATGCTGAACATTGAGTACTAAGGGAAAGAGTAAAATCAAAGAAGACTTTGCAGTTCTTGGCTAGGTTAACTGGAGCAACCAGTTTAACTAAGATGGGGAAGCCTGGGGCAGAAGCTGTCTAAAGCGGTCAGGAGTTCTCCTTGTAGCCATGTGAAGACTAAGATACCTGTTGGATTCTCAAGTAGAGATGAAGACAGTTTGGAGCTCAGGGAAGAGGTCAGAGAGGGTCCACTGTCAGAGAGAAAGCAGGTAAGGAAAGGGGATCAGCTGGTATCACACTAAGAGTAAGTTTGTTAGAGATGTGTTTCATGGACAGAGCCTTGGGATTCACCAACATTTAGCAGTCAGGGAAAATATGAGGATTTAACAAAAAAAAAAATTGAGAAGGAGAGAAAAATAAGGCACAAGAAAAATCAGACTGGAGTCTCTCAATCACGTGAAACAAATATCAGGGAGTCATTACCTCTGTCACATGTTGACAGATAAGGCCTGGGAATTCACCACTGGATTTTCCCTCACCAAGACTGGTGACAGCTTTGGAAAGCACTGACTTGGTTAAGTGGTGGGAGCAAAAGTCTTTTGGGAGTGGGTTCAAGAGAGAGTTGGAGGTAAGGAAACGGACAGTAATTGTGCACATATCTTCTGAAAGATTTTTCTTCAATAAGGAACAGAATAACGGGGTGGTGATATTCAGAGAAAACCCAATGGTCTAGGTGCAAATAATTATATTTAGACAGTCAAAAAAAGCATCCAATCCAACCAAAATATATTACATTTTCACTCTGCGGAAAGCTCAATTTTATTAAAGAGAGGGATGGTGGGTGGAGGATTCAAAGGCAGAAAATATAGCCCATACCCGTGAAGATGATAATAACCCTGACAGATTCCTGAAAGTGACATGTGTTGTAACCAAGGGCATGTGGTGCCAGGATCCTATACAAAGGAGACTTGAATTCAGATTGGAAGATCAGGGAAGATGTAAGTGACTTCTGAGCTGGTCTGGAAGCATGAAGAAGATTTTAATGAGCTTGATCTGTCTATCAGTGAAGCAATAGAAGCAAAGTTAAAAATTAAACTATTATACCAATAAAATCCTCCAATTTGTTAATGTCAGGTCTAAAGATTTTGGGTAATCATTTACACTTGGAAATTAAAATGTTATAAAAACTGGAGAGGAATTTATAGGAAAAGAATGAAGATCATGCGCTCCTTCTTCAGGTTAGCCTTCATCTTTTCCCTTAATGTTCTGCTTCTGAGATGTGGGAATGGCTGTCCTTTGCCCTTAGAGAGCAACTTCATCTGCTGTTTTGTGACTGTGGGGGTGGGGACGAGAACGCTGTCCTGAGACAATTGTGAAAAGTGAAAGAAGATACTGCCTTTTCCTTAAAAAAACAAGATCCCCACTATGTAGGGATGAAATTCTTCCAATAGGATAACGGCAGAGGGAAAGCCTGAATTATCAGAAGGATCTGGAGGCAAATTGACTGTTGAAAAGTGTACTTTTAAGCAGTAATGTCACCCAGATATTGGAAATAGACTGGAAAATCTGCTGTTTAAGATTCATATATTGGGCTTATTTTTTGTAGGATTTACTCATTTTTCAAAATGCATTTATCAAATCTATGCTGAGCCCAAAAATGTAAATGCTGAATTCTGGCAGAGGAAACTTTTCGTCAGGGCTGAAAGATCTAATTAATCAAAACAGACCAGACCCTTCCAATGGATTTACATATGGAAGAAATAAAACGAAATGAATCCCACATACCTTTGGGAAGTAGTTAATGGGATGAAGGTTTGGACAGATTGTTTTTACGTGGGAGCTATGAATGAGAATCTAGCTCCTCATATGTAAAAAATGCTTGGTAGGGAGAACAGAAAGAATAAAAGTGACAGCTGAGCTATTAATGATGTGAACAGATCCTTAACGTCACATTGTACAGTAAATTGGTGACTAGTAGAAGATCAAGATAGATGTTTATCCAAAGAGAACAGACAGAATTATTCTTGGCTAGTGAAACTGATATAAGAATGACTGACCCCATTTTTTTGTGCGTATACTGGTTCTTACTTATTTAGCTAGCTTTCCAAACAAACAAAACCAAAAAACCAAACACACTGACATCGAGTTAGATCCAACTCATAGCCATACCTTCTTGGGTTTTTGAGGCTGTATCACTACAGAAGTAGATTGCCCAATCTTCCTTCCTAGGAGTGGCTGGTGGGTATGAACCACCAGCCTTCTGGTTAGCAGTTTAATGCCTTAGGCACTATGCTGCCAGATAAGGCTAATGACTTCCACATTTATCTTTCTACCTAGACATTTTGACTCAACTTACAAACTCATGAACATAGGCCTACTTTGCAGTCTTCCCTTTGGGGTCAAACTGGCATATCTAAATCAATGTGTCCAAAACAAAACTCTTGCTGTTTCGTTCCCTGTTTGTTTCCCCATTATGTCCTTTAAAGGCAACAACACCATTTACTTGTTTATTCTAGTAATAAATTTAGAAATGCCCCATGCTCCCCTCCTCCCTTTCTTTCATCCCTATATCCACCTCATTAAGAAGACTTATTGGCTTTATCTCCACAATAGATCTGGGATCTGATCTTTTCCATCATGACCAGCTATCAACTCTCACATGTTGCTGTTGTTTGTTGAATTGAGTTAATTCAAACTCATGGTGTCTACTGCAACGGTTTCTTCTTAAGTCTTTTCATCCTGTCTTATCCCTTAGAGATCATGCACCCCACAGTTACAGGGTCCTAAATGAAGTGGTCTTTGTCAGCAATTTGATATGTGTATTATCATGACCCTCACTTACTCTGCACTAGACACTTTGCACTGTTTTCTATATCAGAAAGCATGACACATATGCTCATTTCTTATACCTGGAATGCTCTTTTCAAGGCTGCTTCCTTCTTGTGGTTCACATTTCATCTGAAATATAACCTACTCATACACAATCTGACTAGGTAAAGGAGTTAGACTAGACAAAGTGCAGCCCTCCTCTCACAATGCTAATTATTTAGTAGCTGTCCCTGTTACTCATTTGTTTACTTCATAGCACATGCCATTTTTACTTTTTTCTTTCTTATCCTCCCTCTTCTGAAAGTTACATCCCATCACCACATATTGTCCAGGGCTGTATTTGTTGCTTACACAATGTTGTCCTACTTTTCCCTCTGCTATTACCTTCCAATGCCTGTTGTTACCCACAGCAAAACTGTTATTGCTGGCAAGTGCTTCTGTTATAATACGCACTACAGGTTCAGGGCAGTTTATTGGGAACTAAGGTGTTCAGTCATGGACACAAGAGAGAGGGCTAAGGTAGCAGGTAATTCATTAATTCAACAAATATTGGCTGAATCAATGAATGAACAGTGAACTCTTAGACACTGGTGTATTAGAAGGGCCTGTGTAGGTAAAATACTTGGGGAAAATTTTTCTTTGAAAGCTGTGTCTTCAGTTCTTGTGACTCATGTTGTTGTTGTTGTTATATGCCATGGAGTCAGACCCGATTCATAGTGACCCCTCCTTGGGTTTCCAAGGCAGTATCACTACGGAAGTAGATTGCCATATATGCCTTTTATTCTATCAATTGCCCTAAGGCATGCAGAGAAAACATAAGCAGAATCTTCAGTCCCTGACTTAGTTCTTTAGTGCTGCTATAACAGAAATACAAGTGATGGCTTTAACAAACAGAAATTTATTCTCTCACAGTCTAGGAGGCTAGAAGTCTGAATTCAAAGGTCCTGCTCCAGAGGAAGGCTTTCTCTGCATCTCTTGGTCCTAGAAGGACCCCAGTGCAGGGTGTAAGGCTACACTAAGGAGAAGAGGACGCACAAAAGTGAGGTTAAAGAGAAGTTTTTATTCTGAGTTTCCGGGTGAGGTTTACGGGTCCCCGAGAGAGGCCCGGGCAAGGTTCACGGGTCCTGAGAGGGGCCCGAGAAGTCGCACCGCCTGGCTGGGGAGGGTAGGGTTTATAGTCTTGTGGAGGACTTAAGTGGGGACACTAAGGAAATGGTGGGGTCCAATTAGCTGTTAGCATGGGTCTGTACTTAATTAGCATGAGGAGGCTTCACAAGAGGAAGTTTGCCACTGCATGGGACTTTTCAGTCTGGGCAGGTTCTGTCACTTTGGTTGTCTTATTAGGCTGTCTCATCAGGGCTTGACATCTGGAGGAAGCCGCTAACTGAAATGTTGGTGGCTTGGGTTTGCTTCAGCCTAACACAGGGACCCTGGGTCCATTAAACACACTCCATTCCTGGCTCATCCTTCTTGGGGGAGTGTGTGTGTCCCTTTGTCTCTGCTTGCTTCTACCTCCTTTTATCTCTTGTAAGATAAAAAGTGATGCAGGCTATACCCCAGGGCAACACCCTTTATATCAATCACATCAGGGATCGGGGCAGATTAAGGGCATCACACCCCACCCTAATCTTCTTACAACTAATTGGCTTATACCATCGGATCATATTATGGGATTTCATTACATAACTGCCACATTATATCATTACATAACTGCCAAACCACTGAGAATCATGGCTCAGCCAAATTGACACATACTTTTGAGGTACACAATTCAATCCATGAAAGTCCCTTTATTTTCCCATTTTCTTTTCAGAGTTACCAGAATCATACTATTTCTCCAATGAGCATTGGTCTGGATTTCAATTCAACTTTCAGTTCTTTTCTAAATTCCAATATTGACTGGAGGTCTCCATGGTCCAACAAGCTTACCTGTGAATGACAGAAATGAGGCAGCTTGTCTGTTAATTAGACACTTATCAACTTTGTTGTTGCTGTTGTTATATGCCGTGGAGCCCGAATCGAGTCAGACTCATAGTGACCCCTCCGTGGGTTTCCCGGGTGGTATCATTACAGAAGTAGATTGCCCAACCTTCCTTCCAAGGAGTAGCTGATGGGTTTGAACCAGTCTTTTGGTTTGGTTAGCAGACAAGTGCCTTAGGCACTATGCTGTCAACTTTAGTGGTAATATACACAGACTTCATGTAAAGTGTCCAGTTATAGTTAATATAACTAAAGAATCAGATATGTATTTGCTTCTACAATAATAGAAGGAATACTCTATAGTAAAAAGTCTTCTGGTTGTTTTCAGTCTCTAAATAATCACATCCTGTAATTAATAAATAGCTCCAGTTCAATAAAATGCACAAAACTCCAAACTTCATTTAAAATTAAAGCTTCTCATGTCCTTCAGCTTGTGCCTGGAAGGGAGGGGTTGTTTGGTTTGGCTTCTTGTTCCCTTCTTCTGTGACCTGCTCCGAACACTCTCACTAAATGAGGCTCTGATCCTTCCAGAGCTATTGGTGGGGGGATAGAGGTGAGTCAAGAGCAGAAAGTGTTTTTGGCTGAAACTCTTGTATCTGAGATTGCTATTCTTGGGCTGAGTGGATGGATATTCAATGCTGATTTCTCTTAGAGGGAAATTTCAAAAATCCTTAGCTAATACCCCACAAGGGACATCTATCAGTCCCTTCACGTCGTCATAGGAAATTCCATCTTCTGACTCAGTCCTTAAGATTCTTCCCTCACTGGTTGAGCATCTTTCTGTCTACCCCTTTTTTGGACTCACATGAGTCTTTTAGACAGTCCTATTGGGCAGCATTTTGTAAAACTATAAATGAAATCTCTCCTGAGTGCTCCATACCTGATTCTCATTTTCCTCATCTCAGCCCATTTGTGGGCTAGCACCCTCCTCCCCCTGAGTCCTGTATGGTGGGCTTTCCCATCAGTTTGGAATGGGGGCAATACTTAATTGTTTTATTCTTAAAATACTGTGGGTTCAGCCAAGTGGGAGTGGGATGTAGTCCATTTCAGCACCCAGTTATATGTACACATACACATGTGTACACATATGTGTACAATTTCTGAAGTTGTCAGTCAAGACCAAAGATTTACATCTTCCCCAATTATTCACAACAGTTTTTGTGAAATTTATTTTTTATTTTAAATTCATCTTTTAATCACTGCAATAATTCACAAATATATTACTATAACACATTTAAATAATAAAGTGAAATTGTCACATTGCCCTTCTTGCCTTTTCTGTTCCCCTTTACCGAGTGACTACTGTTATTAGATTAATGCACCTTTTCATCATTTTCTATGTACTCACAAACATATATGGACACATAAAATGCATAACGCTGTATCAAGTATATGCATGTTTCACTTCTTTTATTTTCTTGTACTTGTTGTTTTACAACTTGCTTTTTTTAACCTCATCTGTTTTCTAAATCTTTATACTTTTTAATAGATCAGTATAATTAATTCTTTTTGATGGCTGCATAGTATTCCAGAAAATATATGCATCCTACTTTATTTATGTATTCACATATTATCAATCATTAGTTCCTGATTTTTTTTTTTTTAACTTTTATAAGTTTTACTACAATGGGTATCCGACAACATACTATTTCATGCATCTGTGCATGTTATTCTCTGCATCACCAAGAAGCAGCAATACTGAGCAGAAAGATGCAATTTAACTTCCACAAACAACCTTATTTCTACATGTTGTTCTCAAACCTGGTGATAATAATCATTTAAATGTTTGTGAACCTGGTAGACAAGAATTGATAAGCTCTTATTCTTTTTATTTTCATATCCTTGATATTGCAATGAGGCATATTTCCCCCATTTGTTCATCATCGGTATTGATTCACGTTCTGATAGTTACCTACCTGGGGCCTATTTTCTTATGTTTTGCCTTTTCTTTTTTTCATATTAATTTGAATAAGTTTAAAAAACACCATTCCCTTATCTGATATCATGCTATAAATAATTTCTTCCATTCTGTCAATGATCTTTCATGGGATCTCTGTTCATAAATAAATAGTAAGCTTTCTAAATTCTTCACTCTCTTCATGATATATCTAGGTGTAGAATTAATTTCTTTCTCCGAATTGAGCCCCATTGTCATTCTTGAATCTGAAAAATCTTATATTTGATCCATTCTGGAAAATTCTTGTGTATCATTTCTTACAGCTTGCCTTTTGCCCCTTCTCTTTATTTTCTTTTCTCAAAGTTTAACTCAACATATATCAGATCTTTTCATGATCTCATTGATCTTTATTCTCCGTAATTTACTTAGTTCCATCTTCTAGTTGTCTAATTATCTGGGCTTCATCCCTCATCCTTACAGGAACCTAGACCAAAGGCTGTGAGTTACTAAAATTGATGCCTCTCTAAGCACCAGGCCCAGGGTTCCAAAATGTTAGCTCATGCTTTTAACTTTCAATTTCATCCGTGGTATTATCTTGTACTATCATTGGAGCTGCACTTAAAAGGAAGTTTACTATATTTTATCCAATATAGCTGGGTGTTTACAACAGACAGTTTTTTAGGTAATTTCATTCACTAGAAGCTTCCAAATGAATTTCCAACTAAGATTGTTGTCAAGTTTTATCATCCCATTGATATAGATCCAGTTTAGAGAAATGGGACACAGAACCAGAAAGAATTTATATGCTAGATTCCTCATTTAGAGACTAAGCCCCAAGGTAACTGTGACCTTTGTAAGGTCACATATTGGAAAACAATAGAGCTGGAATGATTAAGCAGTTCTCCTGAATCATAAGCAAATTCCCCACCAAACAGCACTTCCTCCTAATTCTTAAGCAAAGAATTGGCCCAGTATCATATGAGATATAGGACCCTTTTCTCTTAATATTTGCTTCCTTTCATATTCTTTTATTTCAGTACATAAATGACAGTTCCTGGGAACAGAGAACCAAAATGTTTACTGAAGCAGAAGCCAATGTCACAGAAGAGGAAATTTCCAATGATGGGAATTTACACATGGTTCAAGAGCAAACCTTCAGGAAAGGTAAAATCATGCACAAGGGTCTGGCCCTGAGTAACACTGGAGTATATGTCACCTTGATTTCCCTTTTATAAAATATCTTCCTGCCACCACCTTGCCAAGAATTCTACAAAGCTATAAAGCATATTTACTGAGAATTATTTTATTTATCCCAAGAAACCTTAAAGATGTATAGGACAAATAGATATTAAGTTTACAGTGTTGGTGAAGAATATACCATGGGCTGCCAGAAGAACAAACAAATCTATCTTGGAAGAAGTATAGCCAGAATGCTCCTTCGAAATGAGAATAGTGAGATTTTGTCTCTTGTACTTTTGACATGTTATCAGGAGGGACTAATCCCTGGAGAAAGACATCACGCTTTGTAAGGCAGAAGGTCAGAAAAAAAGAGGGAGACCCTCAACAAGCTTGATTGATACAGTGGCTGCAACAATGGGCTCAAACATAATGATGATTGTGTGGATGGTGCAGGACCAGGTAGTGTTTCATTGTGTTGTAGGTAGGGTCGCTACGGGATGGAACCACTCAATGGAACTTAACAAGAGCAACAAGGTATTAAGTCATTATCAATAGATGAAGGAAAATAATCGGAGCAGCTATTAAGTAGGAAAGATATAAACCAACCTTAGCTTCTATGATTCAAAGTCAAGGGCACATCCCATTAGATTTCATGTTAGATATAGACCTGTATCAAAGGGAACTGGCTTCTTTTTTAACAGATGTCATGAAAGTCACATTTCTTCCTCCTTTTACCTATACTACAACTTAGTGCTTTTTTTTTTTTTTTCATAATATGCTCTGATAGCATAGTGCCTAAGGCACTTGACTGCTAACCAGAAGGCTGGAGGTTCAAACTCACCAGCCACTCCTCAGAAGGAAGGTTGGGCAATCTACTTCCATAATGATACAGCCTCAGAAACCCAAGGAGGGGTCTCTATGAGTTGGGTCTGACTTGACGGCACATAACAACAACAACATAAGTAAAACTATGGAACAACTTATTTTATCCTGAACTCATAATGACTCGTAAGTGTATGATTTATTAATTCTCTTAAGGATATAAACTTTTCATAACATAATGTCTTAAGAAGTAAAACACTAACCAAGATGGAATGCTTTTCTAATATGTTTTAATCCATTTAAACTATTGAACTATGTTGTTGTTATGTGCTGTTGAGTCAGACCCAACTCATAGTGACCCCTCTTTGGGTTTCCAAGGCAGTATCACTACAGAAGTAGATTGCCCCATCTTCCTTCTGAGGAGTGGCTGGTGGGTTTGAATGGCCAGCCTTCTTGTTGGCAGTCAAATGCCTTACGCACTATGCTACCAGAGCTCCTATTGAACTATATCATTGCCCAAATTCTCCCACCCTCAATCTTTCTGTCTCAAAATCAGTAATATGGGAAATTTGTGTATAAAAATCTGCTGTGCACAGTATAGTATACTGGATAAAAGCATGAATTAGAAGTCGAACTGTCAGAGTTTGCAATTCTGATTCTTCCATTCATGAGCTCTATGACCTTTTGCAAGTTACTTAAACTTTCTGTCTTACTTCCTAAAATGATATGAGAATAACAGTACTACCTCATAGGATTTCCATGATGATTAAATTAGTTAAAATATATAAACCATTTAGAATAGCAACCGGCACATATAAAACACTATATGAACATTAGATATTATTGTTATTACTCATATAGTGTCCCCCAACAGTCCACTTTTTGGCAGTCACTAGAGCTCTCAGTTACAAGTTATCTAAAGTGGGAGTCACATGTGATGTTAAAAACCCCAGGGTTTCCAGTTTTTTCCATTATTTTCTATGAGATCTGTCACAGCATACTGTTTAGTCCTCTGGTGACCAACACCAGTAGCTAGAGCTATATCAGGCAATACCTTTGTAACTCACTTTACTCCAGCTTGTGGTTACAAGTGGCATTATGCTCATAATGTTAATTCATTTTGGCCAAGTCTTACCTCACTTGATAAGGCAAAGTCCAAGTCAAACAACAACAAAAACAAACCCACTATCACCCAGTCAATTCCAACTCATAATGACAGAGTAGAACTGCCCATATGGTTTCCAAGACTGTAAATCTTTAAGGAAGCAGACTGCCTCTTCTTTCTCCCATGGAGTGGCTGATGAGTTCAAACCACTGACCTTTTGGTTAACAGCCAAATGCTTTAACCACTGTGTCCCCAGAGCTCCTCAAAACGCCATCTGGCTATTTTGTTGTGTCTCCACATATTTCTTACACATGCTTATGAATAAATCCTGCTGACTGCTTCATCAGTAGATATCTAACATTAATTTCCTCTCATCTCTCTCTCTGGCCCATGGTTACTGAGTACTGCTGGGTTGTCTGTATCACACCCTCAGAGCACTGTTGACAGTTTCTCTCAGTACCCACACCTCAAAGCCTACTGACATCTTTGCTGGACACTACTGCAGCATCAGAGGCACTTGTAGGCCTGAAACCAAATGTTCTATGGGTTGTAGAGAGATGCTCCCTCTCCCATTATATGTCATAAGTCTGTAAGGATGGGCCCCGTAGGACCTATATCAATACTTTGGCTCAAAGAAGAAAAAATGGAAAGGAATGTGTTAAATAAAAGAGATATTGACAAGAACATTTTTGTAAGATAAATACAAAGATAAATATACTGTATTTTCATGCAAACAGCACCCACCTTCTACCTTTGTTTGCCAACTGCTCCCTCTTCCCAGGAGGTATTTTTGTAAATGTGCTATTTTTTTTTACAGTAATATGTGAAATACGAAAATCTGATCTTAACATCTTGCAGGTAGAAGGAGTGGTTGGCAAACAAACATAGAAGGCTCATGTTACTTGTGAAAAAATGCAGTAACAGCTATTGCACAATGAATGTATGCTCTATGTCAGGTACTATTCTTCAAATTTTACATGTATTAGTTCATTTAACCTTTGTAACAACCCTTTATGGAGATATGACTGGCTTCAGGGCCATGTAATAAGAGATGGAATTCAAGAGATTAAATTACTCATGTAAGTCATCCAGTCACAAAGAAGTGGCACCTAGATTCAGCCAGTGAGGTACAGGTCACTTGTCCCCATTGTTAATTATTATGTTATTCTGATGTCTTACTTTATTTGAGGAAACTGAAGAATACTTTCAACTCCAATTTATTCACAATCTTAAGAATTAAAAAAAGTTTAGAGTATATGAAATGAGGAACAAATTAGTAGAAAAATATGAGAAAAGAGCCCAATACAGATCAGGAAGGAAACTAAAGAGGAAAAAAATGTCTTTGTAGAATTAATTTGAAACTCAGGCACAGAGAGATTAAATGATTCATCCCAGTCATGCAGGCACAAAGAGTTGGCATTCAGCCAGTTCTGGATTCAGCCAGAGAGGTTGGGTCTTTTGTCCACACTGCTAACAATTATGTCATCCTGATGTTATTATTTTATTTGAAGAAATTGAAGAATATTTTCATCTCCAGTTTTTAAAAATTCTTAACAATGAAAAATAAACAAACTTAAAGCATATTAAACAAAAAATAAATCAACAGAAAATTATGAAAGAGGAATTCAGTGCAGATAAGAAAGGAAACTAAATAGGAAAAAACGTCATTGAAGATTTATGTAATATGGAATTAACAGCAGCAGGGAAAGAAATTATTGCCATAGAAAACCATGCCAAAGATACAGAACAAAGCAAAGGCTTTAAAAAGTTACCAAGAACACAGTGTAGTAAGATCATGGATCAAATGATGATAAGATAAGAAGACAAAGATTATGTGAGAATAAATGAAAGCAAGTTACTAAGCTTTCAATTCACTGACTTTACAGGTTCAGGGGGAGCAGTGGTACTTCAGTGGTAGAATTCTTAGTAGAATTCTTAGCTTCCATGGTGGAGACCTGGGTTTCATAGCTGGCCAATGTACCTCCTGAGCAGCCACTGTCCATCTGTCAGTGGAGGCTTGAGTGTTGCTATGATGCTTAGCAGGTTTCTTTAGAGCTTCCAGACTAACATGGACTAGGAAGAGAGGCCTGGTGATATACTTCTGAAAAACAGCCAATGAAAACCCTGTTGGTCGAAATGATCCAATCCACAACTGATCAGGGGATAACTTCATGCCAGGCAGCATTTCATACCACTGTACATGGAGTCACCATTAGTCAGAGGCTGACTCCATGGAAGCTTACAACACAGCTTCATGGAAAGTATGTACAAAAACAGAATCAACAACATAAGTATGGAAAATATGTGAAGTCAAATTATGATGGAATTGAAATGAAAATGTATTTGAAGGTAGAGTGAGAAGAAAAATGTAAAGCAGAATTCAAAAACACAAAAATGACCAGAATTACTGGTCAGATAGAGACTGATGGAACCCTCGAGACTAATGCCTGGGGTTATACTTTGGGCCTGGAACTGGGCTCACTTCCATGGATTAGCTTTCAGCCAAACAGCAGAAAGACCTACAGGCAGAACACCTACCCCAGGGAGATGCACACACCTACCCCAGGGAAACGCACTGCCTTAGATCAATCAACCATGAGACATCAGAAGGTAAGCATTTGCATAGAGGGAAAGCTGGACAGACAGGAATGCATAGACAAGAGGCATAGGAAGAGGTAGTCACAGGGAGGAGATGGGAGGAGAGCTTTTGTTGGGATTATAATTGGGAAGTGAAACCAAATGTGTATGAACTGTTGAGAGTAAAATGAATCTCCTTTGTAAATTTGCACCCAAATCAAAATTAAAAAAAAATTTTTAAAAATGTATCTGAAAGCTGGTGCTTGATGAAAATGCCGTTCATAACAACAAAAAAGGAATCCACTATTCAGATTAATCAGCCAGAGAAAAATAAATATAACAAGTTATCATTAGCAAGATGGAGATGAAAGACATAATATAATAATTAATGGAAAAATGTAGATAAAGCAAATGACTATCTAGGAAAATATAATTTATAAACATAAGTAAAGAAAAATAACATATGTGTATATGCTATTAATAGTATACATTTTCTTATGTAAGAAATTGAGAAGGTGTCAAAAAATTATCACTTAAAGTTTTATCCTGCTGGTTTCATCAGAATGATTCTATAAAATTTTTAAGAGCAAAAGCAATGCCTATTTATCCCAGACAAAAGAATTAAAAATAATTTATATAGATACCTCACCTTAAGATGTATGAAAAGAAAGGAAAAAAAGTCACATTGCAATGAAAAAACCAATCAAACATTAACTCAAGCCAGATTATCAAGGTTAGCATCAGCAATGATAAGTCATGTGGATAGTAGGTACCTTTGATATGATGTGTTAAGAATGGCACTTAAACTCTGTAGTCTTCCTCTTGTAAGCACATTTCTAAAAACACATTACTTTAAATACAGTGTTCAGGTTAACAATATAATCATGGGGAAAGCATGAGACAAATGTCAGTTGAGAATGTTCTGTAAAATAACTGACCAGTAGTTCTCAACACTATCAGGAATGTTAAAGACAAGGAAAGTCTGAGAAACAGTCACAGTAAAGAGGAGTCTAAGGAGGACAGGATGCCTAAATGTTATGATATCCTGGATGCAATCTTCTACACTTAAATTTCATGTGACCTTGGGTAATGTCTAAGGAGCTCTGGTGGTGTAGTGGTGAAAGCATTTGGCTGCTAACCAAAAGGTCAGTGGTTCAAACCCATTAGCTGTTTTGCAGAAGAAAGATAAAGCAGTTTGCTTCTGTAAAGATTTACAGCCTTGGAAACCCTGTGGGGGCAGTTCTACTCTGTTCTATAGGGTCTCCATAATATAATCAGAATTGACTCAATGGCAGTAGGTTTGGTTTTGATTTTAATTGAAGATAACCATAAAGTTTTACCTTAGGACAAAGAAAAAGACTCGAATGCATTGGAAAGCAGCCCCATCTTGGCTGTTGTTGTGTGCCGGCGAGTTGGACCCAGCGCATAGCGACCCCTCCTTTCTGAGGCCATATCACTATGGAAGTAGATTGCCCAACCTTCCTTCCGAGGAGTGGCTGGTGGGTTTAAACCGCCAGCCTTCTGGTTAGCAGTCAAGTGCCTTAGGCACTGTGCTACCAGAGCTCCATCATAAATGTGGCTATTTGCTTGAAACTGCCACATCAATATGACATTCATCAAAACTCTGATGTAAATTTTTATGGATGGAGGGTGTTGACAAATGCTTCCACAGTTAAGCCAAAAGTGCAGATCTGTCAATTCCAGAACCTTAGCAAGAGGATCACTACACAATAGGAAGCAGTGCTGGCCATTTCCAGTCATTTTGCTCTTTGGTGGCAGCCAGGAAACTTGCCTCTACATGCCTTGAGGACAGTGATCCCATATTACCTCTGGGCTTTCGCTGCAGGGACAGTCTACTCAACAATTTCTAACTGTTGACAAACTACTGTATCTAGATTCAATCCCAAGGGAAGCCCTAGAGCTGCCATGATCACCGGCAAACTTTGTGCAAACCTAGATTACAGTATCAAGATGAAGTTTAAATACATCTGTCTTCAAATCATAGCCCATCTTTCTAGTTTTGCCATTCTGTACCCCTTAATCATGTTAATCATCCATATTCTCTAATTATAAATGATACCTTGAATCATCCCGGCTGCCAAAGCAGGTACATCTGTAAGTGATTTTCAACAACTTCCTCTGTCTTACCAGCCATATGCAATCAATCACTGCTTCTGGCCATTTCTTTCTCTAAGTCTACTTCTTTTAATCCCCAAGCTTGCACAACCCTCACCTCCCAGGGAACAGGAATCCTTGAAATACAAGCAGAATAACATCTGTTTTCTCTGTATTTCTGATTTACAGATAGCCAACCATCTTCTCTCGTTCAATACATATGACGGTTGGAAGAAGAATATTTTGCTGATAAGACTTTCTGTCCCCTCTCATTTTAGGATTTTGTTCTGTCCGTTATGGGCTGGCCCTCATTTTGCAGCTCTGTAATTTTGCCACTTACACGCAACAAATGATCATGAGCATTGCCATGCCAGCTATGGTGAACCACACATCCCAACCCAGCCATCACAATGCCTCCACAGAGAGGCCCCTCTCTGGCTCCCAGGACTACTGGAATGAAACTCTAACAGAATTTAAAGATGTGGTAAGTGTAATAAGACTCTAGACTCCTTTTTTGTCTCAAATAATTTGACTTAAAGGGTTATTTTAATAAAATATGTGATTCATTTAGCTAAAAAGTATTTATTGAGCATCAACTATGTACCAGGCACTGCACAGGATCATAATATGTTTCTGATGAAATTATATTGCTATTTTTTTAGTGTAATCCAGGGAGCTCTGGTAGCATAGTGCCTAAGGTGCTTGACTGCTAACCAGAAGTCTGGCGGTTCAAACCCACCAGCCACTCCTCGGAAGGAAGGTTGGGCAATCCTACTTCCGTAGTGATACTGCCTTGGAAACACAAGGAGGGGTCGCTATGAGTCAGGGCCGACTCGACGGCACATAACAACAACAACAACAACAAGGACTTAGTAAGAATAATAGAAACAGAAATTTTTTTTTATTTTATGGTAAATACACATACATACAGAAGTTCTGGTGGCATAGCGCTTAAGGTATTTGACTGCTAACCAGAAGCCTGGAGGTTCAAACCCACCAGCCACTCCTCGGAAGGAAGGTTGGGCAATCTATTTCCATAATGATATTGCCTCGGAAACCCAAGGAGGGGTCGCTATGGGTTGGATTTGACTCAACAGCAGTAAGTTTGGTTTAGTTTTGCTATACATACATACATATATATATATACATACATATTATATATATTCCTGTACAATGACAAAAATATCCACAAATAAATTTCACAGAGTAATATCTACTTTCTGTTTATTTCTTCTACTTATTATTATTATTATTGTTACCTTGCAAATCATGCTGCCTACTTTATAGACTTGCTTTCTGTACAGGCTCTCTTATATTCTCTTATATTTTAATTAGTTGATTAATTGTGCTATGGTAAGTAGAAAGAGAGAACTGGGCATATTTAGGGGTTTTTTTTGATGAAATTGGTAGATTGGAGGAATTGGAAAGAGGCAAAAAGGAAGACCTCCCTATGATTTTTTGCCTTTAAGTCCTAGCAATAATGAACGTCAATTCTCTAACCGAAGACAAATAAACATGAGCTTCTCTTTGTCCTTTAGGCCCCAGTGTATGACTGGAGTCCTGAAATCCAGGGAATCATCCTCAGCTCTCTCAACTATGGCTCTTTCCTAGCCCCAATCCCCACTGGATATGTGGCTGGAATATTTGGAGTCAAGCATGTGGTTGGTGCTGGCTTGTTCATTTCCTCAGCCCTGACCCTGTTCATTCCACTGGCAGCAAATACTGGAGTGACTTTAGTCATCGTCATTCGAGTTGTCCAAGGCATAGCACAGGTACCAAGATGTCTTCTAAGTACAAGTGGAATTTAGGATCCCGAATGAATGCAGACATGAAAGAACGAATCTTTCCCCTTCCCTCCCCCTCAGGTTATGGTAACAACAGGTCAGTATTCAATTTGGGTCAAATGGGCTCCTCCACTTGAAAGGAGTCAACTCACCAGCATTGCTATATCAGGTAATCAACACCCTAATCCTTACTTTATATGCACTGTCCAAGAGTACTCTGCCATGGCTTATGAAGAGAACCAAACTTACCACCCCAGGTAGAATACACTGTCTCCATAATCCCTGCTTTAACCCACTATCCTATACAGTCCCTCTTGGCCATAATCAAATGCTTCAAATGTGCCAACATTTTGCATAAGCACTTTGCCCATATTATTTGACTTTGTCTTGAAACGATTTAATGAGTCAGCTATACATAATATATAAAGGAGCTCTGGTGGTGCACTGCCTAAGGCATTTGCCTGCTAACCAGAAGGTTGGTGGTTCAAATGTATCAGCTGCTCCTTGGAAGGAAGATGGGACAATCTACTTCCATAAAGATTTACTGCCTTGGAAACCCAACAGAGGTCACTATGAGTTGAAATCTACTCGATGACAATGAGGTTTTTTTTTGTTGTTTTTTTTGGTATATATAATTATCCTCATTTCTCATGTAAGGAAATAGAGACACAAGGAGATCAATAAGATCACACAGTTATCACGTGAAGGAGCAGGATTTGAGCCTACATAGTCTGGACTAAAACTCATACTTCTAACACTATGCAACTCAGCTTTGTTAAAGGAGTCAGTCAATAGGAATCGCAGAGTCCCAAGCCTGGCCTTTTCATCCAAACATGCTTGCATCTTGTGTCAGGGGCATTGCTGGGGTCCTTCATCATCTTCGCTGTTGGTGGTCTCCTCTGCCAGGCCATAGGATGGCCTTATATCTTCTACATCTCTGGTGAGTTTTACTTTTAAAATCTCAGAGTTTATTTGTTGACAGAGAATGCAGGGTATTTTTGTTGCTGTTTTTTACAGAAGTTAGGGATTGTTAACCAAATCCTAATAAGCATGGATGTTTATATATCTAAAGTTGATAATATTCAGAGCTAATCATATGATGAATCTTGTTTGCTGACAAAATAATGTGTAAGTTTATGTATCCTGAGTGCCTGGCTAGAATAAGCCTTATGATTTTAAAAGCATTGTAATATTCTTTCATGCTTCTAAATTGAACCTACAAGGACCCAGAATCCTTTATTTTGTAAAGTGCTGAAAATTTTATTTTGATGAGATTGTAATTTAAATCATACTCATTCATGTAATATTTTCTTTTGAATTTAGCCAAGTCTTATACTAACCAGAATATTGTAGGAACGTTACCTAATTAGGAACTCTCTGGTGCCATAGTGGTTAAAACACTTGGCTGCTGACCAAAGGTCAGCAGTTCAACCCCACCAACTGTTTCATGGGAGAAAGATGACACAGTCTGCTTCCATAAAGATTTATAGCCTTGGAAACCCAAAAGAGGTCACTATGAGTCAAAATTGACTTGATGGCAATGAGTTTGGTTTGGTTTTTGGAATGAGCATAGTATGCACAGAAATTATTCTAATACTTCACAATTTTACCTTTAACCAGTCCCGTCTGCAACCCTGCCAGTTGGTTTCAGCCATGGTTTGTGTTTGATTTTGAAACATTCTCTGTTTGAAATACCATCTGCTAATTGCCTAATTCCTTAAAATAAGTACCACTAACGTTTTCACTAGGAGCTCTGGTAGCACAGTGCCTAAAGGCACTTGACTGCTAACCAGAAGCCTGGCAGTTCAAACCCACCAGCCACTTCTCAGAAGGAAGATGGTGCAATCTACTTCCGTAGTGATACTGCCTCCAAAACCCAAGAAGGGGTCGCTATGAGTTGGGTCCAACTCCACGGCACATAACAACAACAACAACAACATTTTCACTGGACAATATTTATCTTAGATCCTACATTCTTGTAACATCAGGTAAACAAATTCACCAGGAAAAAAAAAGGTGTGAAATTTGATTTCTTGAGCACATCTACTTTCAAAAGTTCTCCCTCAGATATTTCAAAAGGGCAGATGAGAAATAGTATTCAAGCACTGAAAGAGGCTTGCCTATCACTTGGAGGAACAGTAAATAGCATATATCAAACAAAACAAATCAAAACAAAAAAATACCAAACTCACTCCCATTGAGTTGATTCCGAACCAGAGCAACCCCCATTGGGTTTCCAAGGCTGTAAATCTTTATGAAAGCAAATTGCCTCATCTTCTTCCTGCAGAGCATCTGGTGGTTTTGAACTGCTGACTTTCTGGTTAGCGTCCAAATGCCTTACCCGCTACAGCATGAGAGCTCCTTAAGTAGCATATACATAACAGGAAATCAGGAATTATTTGTTTTATGAATACTCAAATCCTCCACCAAGATTTTGAGACTTTGCAAATTTTCCTGTCTATTCCTCCCTCAGCCAAAAAACAACACCCACTGCCATCAAGTCAATTCTGACTCAGAGTAACCCTACAGAACAAAGTAGAACTGCCCCATAGGGTTTCCAAGGCTGTAATCTATACAGAAGCAGACTGCCACATTACTCCCATGGAGTGGCTGGTCAGTTCAAACCACAGACCTTTTGGTTAGCAACCAAGTGCTTTACACACTGTGCCACCAAATTCCTTGATGGCAAAATTGTGTCTTTGTAGACTTATATTCTCAAAATCTAGCAAATGGACTGATTTACAGTGCTGTTCTGTGACATTTATGAATAAATATATGAACAACAAGCCAGCAAAGGAACCTGAGAGCACTTAACATTTTCCCAAGATCCTGATAAAGAAGTTATAAGATGAGCCAAATTTCCACTCAGTATTGATAAAATGGGGTTTCTCATCACTCCAGTCATGTCTATATTAGAGAAAATTTCTTTGCTGATGATTGACTTCAGCTCATAACCAGACATTGTCTGGGTGACCAGTTGCACATAATATTATACTGCTAACTCTTAGGTGCTTTGAGAAATGTAAGAGAGAGTAATGGGAAGATTTAATGAGGAGCAGAACTTTGTGAAAGCATGAGTAGAAGGAGGAATTTTGACAGGTCCTTAATCAGGTAGGGCATTTTCAAGCACAGGGGTAGTAACATTTTGTTACAGCCTCAACTAATGATGCATTTCAAAACCTCCAAAACTGAATGGTATCAAACAACAATCATTTATTCTCACAGTTCTCTTGGATGTCTGGGCAGCTCTGAAACGTATGTGTCTCATCTCCCTCGGAGAGTTGTTAACTAGGATATGTTCTTCCATGGGAATAGCCAAGACCCAAGAGGACAAGAAAAACACACAATGCTTCTTAAGGTCTATGCTCTAAATAGTTCTAGGCAATTGTCAAAAGATGATGCAGGGTCAAGGCCAAAGCCAAAAATGTGGGCAGAAGGGACCATTCCCTGCAGAAGGATATACTTGGTAAACTGGAGGGTCAGGAAAAAAAGGGGAAGACCCTTCCCACAACATAGATTGACACAGTGGCTGTGACAAGGAGTGTGAGGATTGTATACGACTGGGCAGTGTTTCATTCTGTTGTACATAGGGTCGCTATGAGTTGGAGTCAACTCAATGGCACCTAATAACAACAACAACAACCCTCCACCTAAGATAGGACTATGCAAGGGTATAGATGCAGGAAAGAGAATTGGGGTCAGTCATTCTGACAACAAGAGTAGTCATGTCAGGGAGGGTGAAAATGATAGAAGAACTCTAATGCAGTGCTTACTAGATCCTCTTTTCCAAGGTGGAATTGGTTGTACCTGTTGTCTTCTCTGGTTTCCTCTTGTTTATGATGACCCTACGAATCATCCCTTTATCAGCCCTGGTGAGAAGACATACATCATGTGTGCATTGGCCCAACAGGTACATTGAGGGACTCCCCTGCCATTTCCTCTATGTCTGCCTGGATATCTTTGATGTGAAGAGTGCAATGGAAAGAACTCCTGTCTCTGATGGATTGGATATTGATATGTGCTTTTTTCTAGGATTGTTCTCCAGGCTGGTCTCTTCCTGTTAAGGCTATGATCAAATCTCTACCACTTTTGGCCATTTTAGTCTTTTATTTCTCTCACTACTGGCATTTTTATATCATGATGGGGTATATGCCAACATACATCAGCTCTGTACTTCAAGCTAACCTCAGAGATGTAAGTACAGAGAAATCACCTGTGTTCTTCTGCTTGATTATTTAGTTATATAATACTCTGTCTCTCCCAGGTCACAAAATCAGGAGATAGGTCTCAATGACTCTCATGTAGACAATGCAATGGGGTTAACTTTGGTTGTGATTGATCTAATTATGGCTTGGTACTTAATGGAGCAAGTTGTTATAGTTCTTCTAGACAATCCTGTTATTCATAGAATGTCATATTTTGCAGAGATCTATGAAAAAATTTTCTATTTAGTTATTCATTATTTTCTAAACAAGATACCATGCTTGTAGCATAAGCAATGCATGATTAGCAAAACAAATTCTGCCTTTGAGATGCCTGTGACAGAGAAATTTAAATAAGATATGATATAAATAAGACATCATAAACAAGACATAAGCTTCAATTAGTATTCATACTTAAATATGTAGATAACTTTTTTAACAGTGTATTCAAGTATAGTATATATAAAGAAAAAATTATGTATGTGTGTACAGATCTCTGAAATTTTGCAAAATGAATGAAGGCTTTGACTGACTTATGGCAACCTTATGTGTAGTAGAATGAAACACTTGCCCAGTTGTGTGCAATCTTGCTCATAGGTGTATGGCACCAAAGTGGTGAAGATTACATTAGAAGACTAAGAAGTGTTAGTGACAATTCCCAAGATTATGGAATCACTGTCACACTCTCACCCTTTGTATTCAAAAATACCTTTCTCACATTGACTGGGTCTTTTTGAGGAAAGGTTCTAAATGGCCAAACAGGAAGCTGATTTAGTGGTCAGTCTGAGGAGGAGGCAGGGTCAGGATTCAAGCAGGCTGGAATTATTACAGTCAGAAAGCCCAAAGAAGGAATAGCTATGGTCTTTTCAAAGGAAAAAGAAGGCCTGAATGAGACAATGAAACCAGAAGCTCCAAGCAAGAAAATCAGGGTACAGGAGGCCCAGAGGAGCAGGAAGTCAGGGCTGAACTATTGACATCCTGAGCTGGTGGGAGTGGTTTGCTCTGGCATGAGATTGAGAGGGAGAACTGTCCACCCTCAAGGCCAAGTTATGGGAGCATGAGGGCGGAGAATGAATGGAAAAAGAAGCTGGAAGCAGAAAATGGAGCTAAACCCTTCCCATTGTTTGGATTCTACTCAACATCACATGGTCTCTTTTTCCTTGAGAAAAAATTTGCCTCACATTTTCTTCAATATTTTAATTTAGAGGTTGATTTGCTAATCTTTTAACAAAATATAATATTTTAAAAGCATATGAAAATATATAGATTGAAAATCCTTACTCCCGCCCCTGTTCCCAATCTTCTTTAATCACTATGCCAAGTCCATTCATAACTATTCTTCATTAATTTTTTACATTGTTTCTTTATGAAAATGCCAGCATGCTTGGATGCACACTCTTATTTTCTCAACTCTTTTTTATACAATACATTGTATGCTGTACTTGCCATGTTTTATATATTAGGTGTTTTTGTTTGTTTGTTTGTTTTGCCATTTAAGAGCCTTAGATATCTTTAATATCAGTGCATGAGAAAATTCTTACTGAGAAATATTTAGGTTGTTTCTATTCTTTTGGGCAATCTTGCAAAGAAATGTTTATTTGTCATTGTGCAATTGTGAAACTATTTCTGTAGAGTAAATATGTACTATTAGACTGATGAGTCAGGGGGTATATGAGTACAAATTTTATATGTATATAGATTGCTATATTGCCCCTGTCTTACTTATCTAGTGCTGCTGTAACCAAAAATACCAAAAGTGGGTGGCTTTATAGAGCATAATTTATTGTCTTACAGTTTTGGAAACTATAAATCCAAATCAAAGCATTAACTAGAGGAGGTTCTTTCCTTCTCTGTGGTCCTGGGTGTTCTGTGGTATTACTTGGCTGCTTGTACTTATATTGTTGTCCGTCTTCCTCTTCCCTCTGTGTTTGCTTTTCCATTTCATAAAACAAACCTCAGGATTAGGTTTAGAACCCATCTTAATCAGCATGAGATCATTAACATAACAAAAGAATAATCACATTTCCAAACAGGGTTATATTTATAGTTATAGGACTTAGAACTTCTTTTTGGAGGACACAATCCAATCCATTCAAGAAGTCAAGCAGTCAAAAAATCAGACATCATATTGCACTGGGCAAATCTTCTGCAAAAGACCTCTTTAAAGTGTTTAAGAGAAAAGATATCACTTTGAAGACTAAAGTTTGCCTGGTCCAAAACCAAAAATAAAAACAAACTCACTGCCATTGAGTAAATGCAGCTGGTGTGTTTGAACCATCAACCTCTGGTTAGTAGTCAAATGCCATAGACACTGTGCCACCAGAGAAAGCCATGGTATTTTCAATAGCCTCATATGCATGTGAAAGCTGGACAATGAATAAGGATAACCGAAGAAGAGTTAATGTATTTGAATTGTGGTGTTGGGGAAGAATACTGAAAATACCATGGTCTGCCAGAAGAGTGAACAAATCTGTCTTAGAAGAAGTATAGTTGGAATGCTCCTTAGAAGTGAGAATGGCCAGACTTTGTCCTTTGTATTTGGGTCATGTTGTCAGAAGGGACCAGTCCCTGGAGAAAGATATCATGCTTGGTAATATAGAGGGTCAGTGAAAATATATCAATGAGATGTATTGACAATGGCTGCAATGTTGGGCTAAAGTGTAGCAAGGATTGTGAAGATGAGGCAAAACTGGGCAGTGTTTCATTCTGTTGTACATAGGGCTGTTATGAATTGGAGCTAACTTGATAGCACCTAATAACAACAACAACATTCGATCCATAACACTCTCCATAAGGCCTTAATGATTATTGAAAGAACCATTTCCCTAGAGCAACATCACAGAGCATGCCACAAATATTTAGAATTTTGCCAATTTGTTCCATGAAAAATGATATCTCACTATAGTTTCATTTTGTATTTCTCTTACTAAGAAAGGGTTGAGTAAGTTTCAAAGTTTACCAACCACTTATTTTTCTTCTCTGTGAATTATCTATTCATATCCTTTGTATATTTTTCTACTGGGTTGAGTCTTTGATAGTAAGAAGATAATATCTATTTCCAGGTGATCTCTATGTATGACAAGTAAACTAGTCTTTTTCTGCAAATTGAGCCATAGGCATATTTTCCTCCAGGCACTAAAATTATATCGACAATGAATTTGTTTGAAAAGTGGTGAGTACACAGGGAAACGTTATAGATGTGGGCAATCAGTTCAGGTATCAGTTGGGGTCATAATTTGTGGAAGTGAGGGTCTGCATCTCACCTCACCTCTTATCCGCAGAGTGGGATCCTATCTGCCCTTCCGTTTATATCTGGCTTCATCTGTGTTATTCTTGGAGGTCTATTGGCAGATTTCCTCCTTTCCAGAAAAATTCTCCGACTCATCACTGTAAGGAAACTCTTCACTGCCGTAGGTAAGGAGGGAGGCAGTTATAGGGGTGATCATGAAACTCCCAGAGAAGCCAACAGTTTACGCGGTGTCTGTTTTTCTCCTAGGAACCCTCCTACCATCCCTGCTCATAGTGTTTCTGTACTGGGTCAGATCCAGTGTCAGAACCACTGTGACCTTCTTGGTACTCTCTGCTGGCCTCAGCAGCTTCTGTGACTCAGGAGTCTTTGTTAACATCTTGGATATTGCTCCTCGGTAGGTACCTCTTTTTCTCATCTTCACAGAAACTCAGTACAGTTCAAGCTGCTCTGAACCTCCTCTGACATCCAGATAACATTGACATGAGAAACAGAGAAAAATCTCTCTCTCTCGAGGAATGTGACAGTTACACAGGGTCAGATAAATGAAAGGACCCATGCAACTCCATAGCACATGCTCACATAAGGTTTTAATAGGATAATTAGTATGGTACAACTAGAGAAAGAAAGTATAAGTAATGATAAAAGATGACTGAATTTCTATGCGTAGCTCCCAAAAGTCCTTTAACAGTCACACAGAACACATACAATCAACTGCTAAGATACCTGGGAGAGACCCTCATCTCAGGGAAGCCATTGTTTCATCCAGTGAGGGTCTTTTATAGCCAAAACAAGGCTCCAAGATCAGACTTATGGCAGAAATCAAGATAGCATATAAACGAGGTGCAAACTATTGATCTGTACATTTTCTACAAAAAATATGCTCAAGTTAGTCCCAACCCACTGCTACTGAGTCAATCCCAACTGATAGTTATCCTATAGGACAGAGTAGAATTGACCCATAGGGTTTCCAAGGCTGTAAATCATTAAAGAAGCAGACCACCTCATCTTTCTCCCATGGAGCAGCTGGTGGGTTGGAGCCATCAACTTTTCAGTTAGCAGCTGAGCACTTAACCACTGTGCCACCAGAGCTCCAGATCTAGCCCAGGATTATAATAATAATTACCAAGTCCATTTCAGGAGCCCTGGTGGCACAGTGGTTAAGTGCTCAGCTGCTAACTGAAAGATTGGTGTTTCCAACCCACCAACTCTCTGCAGGGAAGATGTGACACAACTTCCATAAAGATTACAGCCTTGAAAACAGGGAACCTGTGGGGCCAATTCTACTTTGTCCTTTGGGATCACTATGACTCAGAATCGACCCAGGGCAATGGGTCAGTCCATTTCATTTTTTGCAGGGTCAGCACAAGTTCAGGCATCCCCAGAGATAAGTACAGAGTTGCAATAGTCCTTCTGAGATGAACCCTTTGCTTACAGGAGATTGTTTATCTAATTCTCTCTCTTATAGATACACAGGCTTTCTTAAGGGACTATCACAAATCTTTGCACACATAGCTGGAGCCATCTCTCCTACCACTGCTGGATTTTTCCTCAGTCAGGTGAGATCATATGTTGTGATGAAAATGTTTATGAAAGAAACTGCAAAAGGGTATATGGAGGGTCGATAGAGGTTATAAGAAGTCAGATTAAGGGTATTTTTGTTCTCTCCTTAAAGTTCAACTTGAAGCTGAAGCATTCCCAAATGCTCTCATTCTCTCCCTAGACTCCAGTCATGTAGGTAATTTGAACATTTTCAGGGTGTGGAGAGAGAAGGAATGCTCAATATTATGAGTTAATATTTTCTGAGTTCTTATAAAAACTGAGAGATTTCCTGGGGTGTGGGACTATCAGTGCTAAAACCTTTAAAAATTTCAGGCAAATACATTTTTGGTATATTGGGTAGTGGTAAGTGCTAAGAGAAGAATCAAAATGAAAATGGGAATAGGACACATAAGAAGTTAGTGAAGGTTCCATTTTAATTTGAGAGGTCTAAGAACACTTTATTGAAAAGGTAACATTTGATCAAGGACCTGAAGGAGGTGAGATACTGAACGTAATGAATATCCAGGTGAAGAACGTTTCAACAGAGGAGTAGCCGGTGTAAGGGCCTTAAGACAGATATGTGTCTGGCATATCTAGGAACAACCATGAAGCCCACAGAGGCTGGAGCAGAGTTGGGGAAATGTGAGCCTTTCAGATGCAAGACTGTCAAGAAAAGGTGGAAGTTAATGACGTAATTTCCTGCCTCCAGGATTCAGAGTTGGGTTGGAGAAATGCCTTCTTGCTTTCGGCTGCTATCAACATATTGGGCCTGGCCTTCTACCTCATCTTCGGCAAAGCACATGTTCAGGACTGGGCTAAAGAGCAGACAATCACCCACTTCTGAGATGACAGAGTGATGCATGAAGTCCATATAATTAGTTGTTCCGTGTTTTCTCTCATGGATTCTTGTTGTGTGCCTGCTTGAGTCATTAGACATTCAGTATGAATTTTATTTGTTCCCATTATTTGTATTTCAATTGTATATAAATTGTATTTGTTTCTCAAAGACCTTGGCTATTGTAATGCCCAAGATTCTGCCTGGAGATTTTACAGAGAAATAAATGACTAGTTATTTAACTGTAAGCTCCTGAAGGCATAGGTGTGTCTGAATTTCTTCATGCTCTCCACTCTTTCCCCTGTTATCCTGGTAAAAGTATCATGGTTTGGAGAATAATTTCTCACCAAAGCAAGAGAAGAAGGTGTAACCTCAGGAGTGAAAACTGAGAGTCATAAAGAGAGTTGTGTCCAATCACCAAGAAGATGAAGCACCCACATACTCTATGATAATACTCTATGGTAATCCCTTAGAGCAATAGACCACAGGGCACTGGAGGACCAACATTCAAATTGAGGAAATGCAGGACAAACAGGATTGCATAAATATGAGGAGCACAGAAAGAGGGTTACTAGGTAGGGAGGGGAAGAGACTGGGTTAAGGTTGGACATGGTAAATGGAGAGTGAAACTAAATGTATGCTAACATTGAATGTAAAACAAGCTCTTAAAATAAAAATAAAGATGAACCTGGGGGCAGCTACAAAAAGAAATCCTGAATCTATAGAAGTTGCCATGTATATAACTTGTAGTCCTGGGAGAGGAAGCCAAATGAGACTAAGTGTGCCTCACATCAAGTAGGGAAGAGTATAAGGTCATTTGAAGCTTGGCATAGGCAGGATGCCTGGTTGAAAATTGCAAGTAGGAGAAGATAATAAATAAAGATGTAATCCATTCAAACAAGAGGAAAGCAAATCCTGTACTATTGTGGTGAGACCAGAGTAGACTTCAAGTATATCTGATAACTTGTTTTCTATGGTTTCTAGCTTTGGAATCACCACTGCCTCCATAATATTTCTAGGAATCAGAATTTTCTGGAGTCTGCCCTTTATTGAAGGCCTTCCTTATGGCAATATTGATCTCTGTCCAACATGTGTTTTGTGGATCTGTGCAGAACTCTCATACTTTAGTAAAACTATTTCTTTTCTATGTCCTTGAACAATTCTTCATGCTGTCATGTCTGTTTTGTATACCTTTCTTCTGTTCCTCCGACTTTGGAATTCTATCCACAAAGTGAGCCTCATTCAGAGTTCACCCCACTTACCTTCCAGGTCTTTCTAAATTGTATATAAGATACATGTTGGTGTGACCTTACAGCAAATGTCAAGAGATTGTGTATGCTGTGTTTTCTTTCATTGAGCATCTCTATGGGCAACATGGGGACCAGGGGGAGCAGAGCATACAAGCACTAAAATGAATACTAATGAACACATATCATGGGCGAAGATAGAGACCAAAGTCAAATATTGCTTCAGAGCATGCAGCATCTTGATAGGACAGATGATTTAAATCAAAGTATCACAGAAATGAATGATGGCTGTACAAAATGAAATGGCTCATGGTACACCAGGTTATGGGAATGAATGATAATGGCATATACACTGATCTGAAGGGTAGTGGAAGTCACTTTTACAGAGTTTCAGTGGATCCGAATCTGAAGGACAATTATTGACTGCTTTAGGAGGCATATAGGGGAACATTCCAGGAAGAGGGAACAGCAAAGGTAAATGTTCATTGTCATGAATAAGCAAACAAGAATGGTCAAATATAATGAGGGCAGCAGGTTTTTGAGGAAGATGTAGAAGTTTTTAATGGCAAGAACATGCTTAGGCCCAGTGGGCTAATCTGTATTTTCTTAAAAGTAATGGATAGTGTTTTGGTGGGGGAGAGTCTAATCAGGCTTCTCTTTTTCAAAGGTTGCTCTGGCTGCATAAGGGGACTAAATAGGTATAGGACTTGACTATGTAGTCCAGTAGAAAGTATTGCTCCTTGGCATGAGGAAGTGGAGGTGGCAAGAGATGGACACATCATTTGACTTAGGAGATAAACCTGAGAAGATTCTGATACAAAGATGTCCAGGGTTGGAACTCAATATTATGGCCTCTGTACCAGGGAGTGCTGTTTCTACTGTCCAAATTCTATCTCTGTAAGAATCCTCTTAGCAGGATTCAAAAGAGTCATTGGCTCTTACCTATAGATCCTTAAAGAGGATATTTGTTGTTGTTGTTGTTATGTGCCGTGGAGTGGACTCATAGCAACCCCTCCTTAGGTTTCTGAGGCAGTATCACTACGGAAGTAGATTGCCCAACCTTCCTTCTGAGGAGTTTGAACTGCCAGCCTTCTGGTTAGCAGTCAAGTGCCTTAGGCACTGTGCTATCAGAGCTCCTAAAGAGGATATATTATATAATAATTTATAAATACACACAAATATATTAAAAGATGTAAAAGTCTTAAGTTCACTGAGAAGGCTTTAGAAGGATTGTGAAGCAGGAAGAAGCATGATTATATTTATATTTTAAACCTTCTTCTTGCTATGTGGGAATGGACTGAAAGAGAGACAGTGGAAATGTGGGACTAACTGAGGTTCTATGCTATTTACCCAGGTGATAGATGATTGTGCTAGGAACGTAGAAATGAACGATGATATTTGAGGAAAGGCTGGAAAATACAACTTACAGTACATGTTGGTGGGGTGAATGGTGAGTCCTGAGGGAATCATAAAATCAAAGAGTACTCCAAGGACTTGAGCTAGATTAACTAGAACAGACTGTTGAACTGAAATGAGAAGCCTGAGGCAGCAGTGCTTTGGAAGGAGCTCCATGATTTTTGCTTGTGGGCATGTGAAGATTGATATAGCTGTCAGATAATCAAGTAGAGATGAAGGCAGCTGAGGGACCAGTTTGGAGCTCAGGGATGATGTCAGAGAGGGTCCACAGTCAGAGTTAAGACATGTAAAGAAAGGGGACCATCTGGGATCACCCTGGGAGTGAGTTTATTGGGGAAACCATCAGGACATAAACCTGTGGTACATTAACATGTAGAGTTCAAGGAAAAATGAGAGCTCAGCAAAAAAAAAAAAAAAAAAGGTACACAATGACAAATAATGTAGACAAAATATAAGACCAGAGTGGTGTCTGCCTATATGTGAAACAAAGCATCAAAAAGAAGTATCAAGTGTTGATAGAAAGGGCCTGGAAAGTGACCACTGGATTTGCCTACACCAAGGTCTGACAGGCACTCTCTTATTCAAGTGATGGGGCAAAAGTCTGTTGGGAGTGGGTTCGGGAGAGAAATAGAAGTGAGGAAACAGACTGTACGTATGCATAAATCTGATTGAAGAAGCAAAAATCTTTTGCTTCAAGAAGGAGCAGAATCGCAGTGGTTATTTTCATAGAAAACTTAATGCAAATATTTATAATCATAAAACCATAACAATCACACTATTTAACCAAAATATACAAATTTGCACTCTGTAGGTAGCTCGATTCCATTAAATAAGGAAATGGTGTGGGATGGAGTAGGAAAAAGAAAGTATAGGTAAAGATTAATGATACCAGAAACTTCTATGTGTACATTTCAAAATCCTTTCACAGCAACACAGAACACACTTGTCTTCAGAGAGTGAACCAACAAAATACCTGGGAGATACCCTGTTCTTAGGGGAGTCACAATTTCATCCAATGAGAAACTTTTGCAGCTAAAACAAAATGCAAGAACAGAAACCAGGAAGAACACACAAACCAGGTCTGTTCATTTTCTATACACAATGCAGACAAGTTAGTACAGGTTGCCCCATGGAAGTGTGAGAGCCTAGGATAGCATTACATTAAACACTATTCAGTCTATTTTGTTCAGGTTTATCCAAGGGTCAGCACAACTCTTGGCATGCCTAGAAATAAGCACAGAGTTGCAGCTTTCTCAAGGGACTATCAAGTATCTTTTCTCCCACAGCTGGAGCCATCTGTCTTACCATTCCTGTATTCTTCATCAGTCAGGTGAGGTTATAGAAAACACTCCTAAGAAAAAACCTGTTACCTGTAGAGGTAACCCAGGGGATTTTAAACTTAAGGTATTTTTGTTCCCTCCTCGATGTGACTCACAGCTACAGAGACTTGAACAAATGCTTTCATACCCACCATAGGCTCTGGTCATGCAGAAAAATTACCACATACTGAAGGTATAGAGCATGGAGAAGTGCTCAACTGAGTTTATGTTTTCTGAGTTCTTATGATATCAGTCTCTCATGATTAGCATCAATTTTTCAAGCAATAACCTTGGCATTTCTTTTAAAGAATAGGGTGACCTACCATGCTGGTTTGCTCAAAATTGAGGGGCTTCCTGATACACAAGCCTATCAGTGCTAGCTCTTTAAAAAGTTTTGGGCAAAATGGAATAATTTGGAACCCAACAAATATTGACTAAATGAATGTATGAGATGCTGAATGAATGACAGAGTGAAAAAACAACCTTCAACTCACATTTATGCCCATAAATGGTTAAGGTAGAAAGTCATTTGATCAGTGTGACTTACATTGTGTTTTTACATTTATGGAGACTTCCATGCCAAAAGGTATCACATAAAATCCATTGCCACAGGGTCCATTCCAACCCATGGAGACCCAGGTGTGGCAGAGTTGAACTATTCCCCTTAAGATTTTTAATGGCTGACTTTTCAGAATTAGATCATCAGACTTCTGAGATGCTTCTGAGAGGACTTTCAGTGGCTAACAGAGGGCTAAGTGTTTGCACAATCTAGAGACTCCAAAACTGTATATGTTGTTGTTGTTGTTGTTGTTGTTGTTTGGTGCCATTGAGTCGGCTCCAACTCATAGTGATCTTATGTACAGCAGAATGAAACACTGCCCAGTCATGCACCATCATAATAAAGAAATTCACATGATATCTTTAAATTTTGCTAAAGATCTCTACTCCTACAGACTTTACATTAAAAAAGATGCCTATGATACTCTGATGACCATCTTCCTTTTAGTTTCCTGTAGTTTTCCATCAG